TTAACATATATATTCAACCAGACAGATATGATTTGTATTGTCCTAAAAAAGAATGACATAGTTGCATCTCTATGATTTTTCTATAAATTAGCTTCCATCTCTAACAAGTTGTAAAATAGCCTCCTTGGAGATCATCAAAGATGATCTACAGAATCTAAAAGGCCAGGAGGGTTCTTGGGACAACTAACGCCTGGCCATCCATTGAAAAGACTCCTGGGAATCTCTTCCGCCCATTTCAGTCTTTCATAATTTCTCTGGACATCATTTCCACTGGAGAGATGGGTAAACTAAAGCTTAAAATGTTGACTAATGTGCCCGAGGTCTTCACGTAGGAGGGCTGGGTGAGCCTCCAGATCTGCACGGCTCCTCACCAGTGAGAACTCTCCCTCCCTGTCCCCCACAGAGCCGGTTACATTCCCCATGTTGGCCTTCTATTCAGCTCTGGCAGGGGATGTGGGAAAAGAAAGAATAGAGATTCTCAAACTGAGTCTGGTAGAGGAGCCAAGCTCTGTGCCCATCTTCCAGAGGATCCCCCCTCTTCATGCCCTCATGACCCTGGAGCAGAGCATTCAGCTCTTTCTCCCTCTTCTCAGCATGAGGTTTCTCTAGCCCCAGGTTCTGGAACCAGGGTGCATGCATGAGCCTGTGCCCAGATATCACTGAGAGCACGCTGAAGGTCGGTAACTAGTCTCATGTGGCCTCTGGAGAATAAGAGTCCAGGCAAGCCCAAGTAGTTGTATTTTTGGAATATTAGGATCTATCCTGTATTTCTTCCATGGTACTTTCTCTCTTTTTTTTTTTTTTAATTACCTTTATCTTCTTTTTCAAAAGACATGTTGCTAAAGGGAATATTAAGTTTTTTATTTTTATTTTTATTTTTTTAAATGGATTGGAGGTTTCAGTGGGACAGGAGAATCACAAGGAATCGGGTGTTCAGAGGAATGTATTGAGTAGAAGTGAGGAACTAGGATGTTGAAAAGTAAAAAAAGGAGAGAAGGAGAGGAAGAGGAAGAAAAAGAAGGAGAGAGAACAGGAATATTGCTTCATTCTAAAAATGGGTATTAATAATGGTCGATCAAGGTTTGATGAAATGCTGAAAAGAATAGACAATATAGACAGGAATATAAATGAACTAACGAAGTTGAAAAATACAACACAAGAACTTAGTGAAATATGCACAAGTTTAAATAGCAGAATGGATCAAGCAGAAGAAAGGATATCAGAGGTCGAAGACCAACTTAATGAAATAAAATGACAAGACAATAATAGAAAAAAAAGGATGAAAAGGAATGAGCAAAGTCTCCAAGAAATATGGGACTATGTGAAAAGACCCAACCTACGTTTGATTGGTGTACCTGAATGTGATGGAGAGAATGAATCCAAGCTGGAAAATACTTTTCAGGATATTATCCAGGAAAATTTTCCCAATCTAGCAAAGCAGGACACTATTCAACCCCAGGTAATACAGAGAACACCACAAAGATATTCCTCAAGAAGAGCAACCCCAAGGCACATAATCGTTAGATTCACCAGGGTTGAAACGAAGGAGAAAATACTAAGGGCAGCCAGAGAGAAAGGCCAGGTTACCCATAAAGGGAAGCCTATCAGACTTACAGCAGATCTCTCAGTAGAAACCCTACAAGCCAGAAGAGAGTGGGGGCCAATATTCAACATACTTAAAGAACAGAACTTTCAGCCTAGAATCTCATATCCTGCCAAACTAAGCTTCACAATTGAAAGAAAAATAAAATCTTTTATGAACAAGCAAGTACTCAGAGATTTTATTACCACCAGGCCTGCTTTACAAGAACTTCTGAAAGAAGCATTATACATAGAAAGGAACAACCAGTATGAGCCTTTCTAAAAATATACCAAAAAGTAAAGAGCACCAACATAAAGAAGAATTTACACCAACGAATGAATAAAATAGCCAGTTAACATCAAATGGCAGTAACCCTAAATTTAAATTGACTAAATCCCCCAATCAAAAGATACAGCCAAAACCCAACAGTATATCCAAAGATACACAAAGGCTCAAAACAAAGGGTTGGAGAAAAATTTACCAACAAAATGGAGAGCAAAAATAAATAAATAAACAAAAAGCAGGAGTTGAAATTCTCACATTTGATAAAATAGACTTCAAAGCAACAAAGATACAGTGGTAAAAGGATCAATGCAACAATAAGAGATCTTAATACCCAGATACATAAGACCCATAATGAGATTTAGACTCAACAAGACAGAAAATTAATAAGGATATCCAGGACTTCAACTCAGATCCAGAACAAGTAAACTCAATAAATATTTATAGAGTTTTCCATTTTAAATACACAAAATATTGATCGGTACTTTCTTTGATTATTAGACCCTCCTTGTCCTGGCTCCCAGGGTTTGAGCCTGCAGGCCCTAGACAAAGGCCTGAGATGCAAGCTTACAGCTAACCCTGCTGGGAAACGAAATTCCAGGGAAGCGGGTGTCAGAGCAAATACAGGGTGAAGCCTAGAAAGGGAGAGAGTAAATATAAGAAGGTGTATTTCCAAGCTGGCTACTGGATTTCCCAGGATATCTTCAGAGAAGCTGAGGCTGCTGCATTTTCAAACATTACATATTGAAAAGAAAGGCAGAAGGGAAAGGGAAAAAGTTATCTATAGGCTGCCACCTGCTGCTGGCTACATTTGCTTCCCCCATGGCCCCTGGGCCCCCAACAGTCATCAGGAAAGCTGGATCCTAAAGCTGCAGTGTTGCAGGTGGAGGGGTGTGCTGCCAGCCCAGGAGTGCAGCCATAGCAGGTGGCAAGAGGGGACACGGATCTCCCCCGGATGATGGGGCTGAGTCACCCTCAGGGTAATCTGGGGGTTGCATCTGGCACATACAAGAATGATGACGGGAATGGGGCTGGTGCCAGGCCATCTCCTAGCAGCTAGGGGACCGTCTCCAGCAGAGCAGAAAACCAGTTGGAGAAAACCGGGGAGGCTTACAAACTGGGGCTGGCACACCCAGGCTCTGTCTGCTGTGTTGGACTTGGACTGTGATATCCCTGGAATAAGAGCTCTCCCACACAATGCCTCCCCACCCCCCGCCCTAACTCCCAGGAGTGATTCCTGCTCTCCATCACCTGCCTTCCCCCGGGCTTCAAGCAGCATTCCCAGCTATTTCTAGCAATGAACCTGTGCATCCATCCCATTCATCACCGCAACATCAAGGCACTGCATTGCATGGCCACCTACATCTCCTGGTATTCTGATTGGTGGGATTTCAGGCAGGACAAGGGAAGCATTCGTGGCGACTTGTGATCCAGACTCAGTTAGTCACCTTTCCTATCTCAAGAGCTTTTCTTTGACCCAGGAAAGTGAAAAGCAAAAAAGGTAGGCCCTTAGTCTCACCAGGAAGTTGGTTCCGCCTCCCTCTTCCCAGCTGTTTCCCCCTCCGAGCTCTGAAGCAGTGGTTTACTCTACTCTGGCCACTCCCTCTCTCAGGGGTCTTTTCCATAGTCACAGGGCTGGCTGCATGGGCGCTAGTTTCCCACACAGTCACTTGTGTTTCCTGCCTCCTCTAGTTCTCCAGTTTCCCCCAATCCATCCCAGAAATCCAGAACTGCTCCAGGTCCTCAGCTCTCACAGCTCTGGTCCTGGCTCCCATTCGGCACTCTTTTCCTGGAGGCGGTGGAAATGGGTGGGGGATGGTGGCCACCCACCATTTGCCAAGTACCAGTTTTATACCAAGTACTGGGGCAGGGGCTGAGGAATCAAACAGTAAGACATGGTCCCTGTCCTTTAAGGGCTGGAATTTACCAGAAGGAATTCTGTACTGGAAATGAAAAGTTGCTGTAAAGTATACCAGTTTCGATGAGGGGCACATATGGGGTACTGGGGTACACACAAAAAAGGAGGGATTATCCTTCCTGGGGAGGAGGTGGGGGGCTCCTGAGATTAGTGTGAAAAGATAAGTAGGTATTTTTCACAAACAGGAGGAGGAGGAAGCAGTGATCTGGAGAATCTTCCTGATAGAAGGTACAGCACATGGAAAGCTGGTGGTGACCTTCCTGGAGAACTGTGACTTCGTGAATAACTGTTCAGTGACTATTCCCAGTCTTCTGCCAATGAGAAGGATTCACGGCTCCATGACGTGTGTAATTCCCCACATCAGACCCTGAAATTTTTCTGTGAATCTCTATTGCCTCTCTAAAATCTTTGTTATATTTTAACGTCATATTCCTCCAACTTACTCCAAGTTCTTCCTCTCTAGTGCATAGCACTGACTCCCTAGCTACTTCTGCAGCCCTGATCAGCTTCCTCAGTGATAGCTGGCAGGAGAGCATCTTGGAGCCATCCAAGTGTGAAACCCTGAAACAGGTCATGTTTGTTTGCCAGGATGTGCTTCTTCCCTTCCTGAAAAGACTCTCAATTCTTAAGTGATTCAGCCTCTCTTGCAGCTCCTTTAAACAGGCATCTGTAGCCTGCCTCTTGCCAAGAGAGTTTCTCATCCTTGTCAGTTTAGAAGTGTGGGATTCCCCGGGCTCGCGTTCAGTTCACAACGTAGAAGCCCCTGTGAGGCTGACCATGCTCACTCTGTCCGAAATGCTCACTCCTGCACCATGCACTCCCCCAAATCTGGGCACTGGCTCAATCACTGTAACCTCTTTCTGACTTTGAGTTGGTATCATAAGGATGATCACAGCTCCTGCCAGTGTAAATCTACCTTCCCAGAGTGATGAACTTGTTGACAGTGACAAGGGCACCTGGCTGGTGACTAGGGGGATGACATAATCTGATATGTACTCCAAGGCTCCCAGACAAGACCCTCACAGCATAACCAGATTCTGCTCTCCCCATCTGCAGCCACTGCTCTCACCCAGGACTACCCTGAAAGACCTCAGCATTAGAGCCAAAGAATGGATGAGGGAGTTTAGCTGTATATGCTGGGAGCCAACTCTTTAAATCCTACATTGATATCTCTCTCCTCCCGAGTTCCTATCATGGGACACACTGTATTTGAAATACCTTCATACTTGAAAATCTCCTGGATTCTGCCTTCAAACATGCACATCTCCACCTTCTGAACACTTAGGAAACAAAGACCCATCCAGTAACCAGGGCCGGTGCCATCAAGATGCATGTTCTGGCCCCAGTGAGCTCTTTGCACTGCCCTGTGCACCCTGCTCTCCAGGCTGATGGCACCAAGGCTGCCCCTGCTATTGCTGGCTCAAAACCCTGTTCCAGGGGTTCCCTGACTACTGCAAGCTTGCCTCATCGCTCCTTCCGTTGAACTCCTCTCTTCCTCTCTGCCTGTCCCCGGAGTGTATTTCTGCTGTCTGGTTGTGTTCTGTACTCTTGGCATGCTCCACATGCACCTTGGTCCAAATCACCCACATCCATGGTGGCAACTAATATCCGTGTTCTGGATCGACTCCACATTTGACTTGGACATTGTGTAGTTACCTCAAACTGAGTGTGTCCCAAATGGAATCAGTCTCTTTTCCCCAATCCTGCCCTTCCTCCTACTTCCATTAATTTTGATCAGTGACGCACAGACATGCAGAATCCAGTCCAGATGCTGGCATCCATCTGGACACTTTTCTCTTCTTCACCTCTGACTTCCAGTTACTCACGTCTCTCATGCTTTATGTCTCTGCTCTCCCTCTTCTGTACCCTCCTCCCCATTTCCCCTGCCCCTGCTTGGCGCAGGCCATCACCACTTGTGGACTGATTTTTGCAATCACTCCTCAGCTTGGATTCCTGTCAAAAATGCCCTTTTATTCTCCCTTTCATCAAGCTAATAGCTACTAATAAGTGTGCCATTTGAGGCTGTTAGCTCTGTAAAGGCAGGGTTTGTCCCTGCCCTGACTTTAGAGCTCCAGTTTGGATAAGTGTCTGTGATGAGGTAGGCAGTTCAGTGTTCAGGGTAAGACTGTAGCTCTGGAGTCAGTGTCTGGGCACAATGAAGAGTTTCTAGCTGTGTGACTATAGACAAGCTACTCAACATACTTGTCCCTCTATTTCTACATCTGTAAAAAGGAGTATACTAGGAAGTATTTCACATGCTTGTCTTGATATGTGTAAATGGCTTAGATTAGTGCCTGGCATACTGTTGGCACTAAGCACTAGTGTTTATACTAAGTGTGCAATGTTTATTTGCATGAATGAATGTGTAAGTCCTAATTTAGCTTTTGCTTATCTTGCGTTGTTCCCTATTGTTTTAGATCAAGTAGTACCTGAAAAATTCTAAGTTCCTGGAATCAAAAGATCGTGGACTTTATTCTTCACAGTACTTAGAAAACTGCTGAGCACACAGCAGACATTCAGTAAATACTACTGATTGGTTTAATGTTCTAGAGAAGTAAGTAGTCCTTCTAATAAAACCCTGCTGTGCACTGGGAGACCACTGTCCATGTGTCTCGTGCCCTGCACACGTCTTCCAAGCAGAGGCCTTGGCAGCTTTTGTCATAGACTTCCTTTTAAGGATATTTGCATAGAGAACAGCCATGGGAAATAGAGGTAGTCCCTTCTTCTGAAGTGGAGGACAGGCTTGTTTACTGTCCAGTGTAATAAAGATAATGTCCCTCTCAGGGGCAAAAGCTGGGTAAGCTTGCTTGCAGTCTGTTGTAAAAGATTGGGGGATGTTGAAGCCTGAGGTTTCTCAGCTGTAATGAAAACCCACTGCAATCTTACCATTCACATACACTGTCCCACCTCATGCCTGTGGGACTCTGGGGCAAGTGGAAACACTAGGAACACAAAGCTTAGGCTACTTGCTGTGCCTTGGATAAAAACTCCTTTGTCTCTGACCCAGGAGTCTCGTGTCTTCTGAGAGTATCCACAAAACTATGGCAGGCTCACCTGTTAGTTTGCAAATGGGATAAAATCTCCGACCCTTCAAAGTTCTGGACAGTGTTGAAAAGAAAAGCACATTCATTGAATTGCTGGGTTCAATATCATTCAGACATTAAGAATCCATTTTGAGGTATGGGGAACTAAATAAACAAGACCTCCAATTTGAAATTCTCTAAGCACTGAGTCCTTCCTAAAGTTCTGGTTTCTCATGGTGCCTCTCAGTATGATTGTTGTTATTCTAACCTGCAGAACAGTGAAAACATTAATTAATTTGATCTGAATTTTCCTCTGAGAACATACTTAGACTCCTTTTCTCCAGCTTCAAAGCTGGGTTAATTTAGGTGGTTGTTCATTTGCCACAGGACAGAGTCTAGAGATTTTTGTTTTAAGGGGGTTGTGTTATTCTTAAAGCACAATAGGGTTCATGGCCAACGTGAGGAAGGCGCCACAAACCCTGCAGTGTGATGGAGGGCTGAAGGAACTGCAGAAGTTAACTAAGGAGGAGTGTGGATGTTATCAAATATTTGAAGGCCTGTCAAAGGTGAGCATTATTAGATTTGTCTCCAGAGTGTGGGACTTGGTCCAAAGGCTGTAAGCATCAGAGACACAATTTTCAGCTCAGTTTGAGGAACAGTGCTTCAAGTTATAATAGGTTCCCTGAAGGGACAGTGTTTTCCTCACCATGAGAAGGAATTAAATAGTGGCAGCATGACTTAGTCAGGTGATTATATAATTCTTAAGATTTACTAAGAGTTTAAGACAGCAAAATGCAAAATGATGAGATTGTCTTAATACCTGTAATATTTCTGACCATGTAACTGACATATTTCACTCTGTACCTTGCTAAATGGAAGATGCTTTTTCTGTTTGAATTTATTTAATTCACTGACAGATGGTTTATGTTTTGTTGATAATGGTCATTATTTGTTTCTGTAACTATTTCTACATTTTACAACAATGCAGTTGAAAAAATAGTGAGACTATAAAAATTACTAATCATGACAATATTATTGACAGTTTTCTGTGTGCCAGGCACTGTACTAAGGACTTTCCATGATATTCCCTATTTGATTCTCACAATAGCTCTCTGAAGTCCGCATTGTGTGACCCCATTTTACATATGAGGAAACTGAGGCACAGGGCAGCATGCCGTTTACCCAAAGTCACAGAGCTTAAGTATCAGAGGAGAGTGTGCATCTGGAGCAGTCTGATTTCTAAGACAGTGCTTTTGTCAACTACACATTTAAAATAGAACCAGGCTGGATGCAGTGGCTCACGCCTGTAATCCCAGCACTTTGGGAGGCTGAGGTGGGCAGATCACTTGGGGTAAGGAGTTCAGGACCGACCTGACCAACATGGTGAAACCCCATCTCTACTAAAAATGCAAAAATTAGCCGGGTATATTGGTGCACACCTGTAGTCCTAGCTACTTAGGGGTCTGAGGCAGAAGGATTGCTTGAGCTGGGGAGGTGAAGGTTGTAGTGGGCCTAGAGCACACCACTGCACTCCAGCCTGGGTGACAGAAGTGAAACCCTGTCCAAAAAAAAAAAAAAAAAAAAGAATCAGATGTGGGAAAAGAAATCTCATGAGTTGCTAAGGAGGTATGAAATGTGATAATTTTCCTAAGGTATTAGAAGAAGAGAGATTCACATATTCTCTTAGGATATCAAAATAACCCAAAGGCTCTTTGTTCATTTCTGTCATTTGTGGTATTGCAGCTGAGTTTCTGCAGGTTATTTTAACAGATGAAATATTTCACACCATCACCAGTATGGGAACATTTTTCTTTAAAGAAAACTTTGTACAGTTTTTCCTGACATTTTTAACTTGCTGTTCAAAGGGGAACAAGCAAGTTTTAAAAGGTAATGATTTCTAAATACAGTTAAAAACCTGTACACTTTATGCCCAGGGAATGTCTTTTTTATAGTGAAGGTTTTCAGTCACATAACATGACTATGCTGCAATTATGTAATATTTTAGGATGGTGCGGTGTTGGCTGTGTCGCAGTTCTTTTTCAGGATTGAAAACTCAAAGGTTGATCATGGTGGATTCCAAGGATAATATCATTATCTCTGCAGGCTCAGCAGTAGGATTGTTAATGCTCGGGATGACTGCTCCTCTGACATCTAGATGATGATGTTTTGTTAAAAGTGGATTTTAAAAAATAACAGCATTATTTTTTCAATGTGAAGAAGTCATCAAATAAAGATGGAATAAAAGAGGTGTGGCTTTTCATGAACCTAATAACATTTTCAAAACCTTGAAAAGCTATGAGGCCCAGATGAGTAGTACTTGGCGTTGGCAAACTGGGGGCCAGATAGTAAATGTTTTCAGCTTTGTAGGCCACATACAGTCTGCCTTGTACCTATTCAATTCTGTTGGGTAGAATGAAAGCAACTGTAAATAATATGCAAACAAATGAGTTTGGTTGAAATCTGACAAAATTTATGGACAATGAAATTTGCATTTCATGTAATTTTCAGTGTCACAAAATAGTATTCCTTTTTTATTTAAAAAAAACATTTAAACATACAAACCTCATCTTTAGCTTACAGGTATACACAAACAGTCAGAGGGCTGTACATGACCCTTGGATGATCCTGGCTTAACCTGGATTCAGCCTGACTATGTCTTGTAGAATGAGCAGAATCCTGGAGAGCTGGCAGGAGAGGTCAGTGAGTCTGGTCTGGGCACATTTCCATCTCTTCTTTCTTCATCCCCTCTTCACTTTTGGATTTCCCAAAGATCACCTGCTTCCAGTGAGGAGCATTTAATATATTCAGTATGTATCAGCTGCCTTCATGATCGTGACTACCAAATAGTGGGCACTGTTATCTGTGTGACAGGTATTACCTTTTCTTTAGTTCTGTCAGTTGTCTTCATAGAAAGTTATTCAAGGATTGCTACTGAGTTTACCTCAAACAAGATTTAAGTTCAACTTGCAATGTTTTAATAGCAATAACAAAATGTCTGTCTCTCCACTGGTTCACAGCTGCTGCCATTGATACAATGCTTTGCTATGACAGAGCCTAGCCAGATAGATGCTCCATTACCGCTTCTTGGGAGAATGCATTTCCGAACTTTGCTTGTAGGTAGTGGAGGTGATGTAGCTGGTTTTAGCTAATGAAATGTAAACAAAAACAATGTGTGCCATTTGCAGGCCTGAGTTCAAAAATATCCAGATTGATCTCTCATGGGCTCTCCTTTCTCTCCTATCCACCCAGCTAAAGGCAAAGACAGCAGAGATGCTAGAACCCTGCAATGGGAGAAGTCACAGAATAGAGA